AGGGGGGAGGGGGGAGGGGGGAGGGAGGGAGAGGTATACATTAGGCTAGACAAGAATTTGGTGGTAAACTAGAACTATTTTGACACACACAAAAAATGTACTCCAATGTCTCACTGATTGAGGAATGATGAAATGTTTGTTTTAAAAGAAAATAAAACTTTTGGGAAAAAAAAAAGAAACTCAGCACAAAAACTTTGGAAGGACGAATAAAACATAATTCTGAAACAATTGTAGATTCCCCAAAGTGTACAAGTCACTTGGAGGTGATTATTCTCTGAAATGTTTTTTTCATGGCATTCCTAACTTCTCTATTCCTGAAACTATATATGATGGGGTTCAGCATAGGAATGATCACAACATAAAAGACCGACACAATCTTGTCTTGCTCCAAGGAATAGCTGGCGCTAGGGCGCAGGTACATGAAAAGAACAGTCCCATAGAAAGTGCAGACAACAATCAGGTGGGAAGAGCAGGTAGAGAATGCTTTGTAAATACTTTCAAGTGAACGCATTTGAAGGACTGTGACAATGATATAGCAATAGGAGATTACCACTAGGGATGTAGTTGCAATCTCATTAAATCCTACAAAAGCAAAGAGTAGAATCTGAACGAGTTGGATGTCAGAACAATAAAGATGAGTCACAGGAGGTCCATCACAGAAGAAGTGGTTGATGATGTTGGAATGGCAGCAGGTTAATCTTAAACGAAATCCCACTTGTATGGATGCATTCAGAAGTCCAGCTATATAGCAGAACATTACTAATGAAATGCAGACAGTTTTGGACATGACAATAGTATATTTCAGTGGGTTGCAGATGGCCACGTATCGGTCATATGACATCACAGCCACAAGGTAGCATTCAGTAGTTGCAAAACAGCAATAAAAGTATTGCTGTAAGAAACATCCAGTGTATAAGATGACTTTCTTCTGTGCTAGGAAATTCATCAGCATCTTTGGGGTGACAGCAGATGAGTAGCAAAGGTCTAAGAAGGATAAGTTGCTCAGAAGGAAATACATGGGTGTTTGAAGGCGAGAATCATTTTTCACAAGCACAATGATCCCAATATTCCCCACAACAGTGATAACATAAATCAATAAAAATATCACAAAGAGCACATGTTGTAGGGTTACATGATCTGTGAATCCTAGAAGAATAAACTCTTCCACCTCAGTGCAGTTTCCTCCAATCATCTCACTGGTTTAGTTAATTCTTCACTGAAAGGGAAAATCATGTAAAATTGGAGAACTAATTGAAGGGAACTAATTGAGAACTACCGGTAATTGAATTTAAAGTTGAAGGGAACTTTCTCATGCGGGTCAAACATTAGATTTAATTCCAGGAAATCCATGTCAGCTCCAAAAAAAATTTGCATTAAATATATTTCAATTTTCTGTTAAAGGAAATATACATCAATTAATCTTTTTCTTTAAAGAGCTTGGGAAACTCATATTTGGCCTATTAGTTTTCTCAGTGGAATTCAGTTTTATGAATGTTGTTGAAGAAAATTAGATCACTATATTGTTATTTTTAAAAAAAAAACATTTTTCTTTTCCCCTTTGAAAATCCTTTTTGATTTTTCTAGGTTGGGAAGGAGAATGATAGAGATCATAGCATTAACAGTAACATAGTCTTGTCTTTTGCGCTTACCCACTTGAAAAACACTACATTGTTGACCAACGTCTTTCTCAATTTCTTTTTCCCATTTTTTTTCCTATTCGACCAGGTTCATCAATTGTGGCTACAAGGAAAGAGTTTAGCATGAGATTTATTGCCAGATTAATCAATTCATAAGAAACTGAATGGGGAAACAACCCTATAAAAATGATGTTTTAAATCATTTTTGTATATTTTTATCATTTATCAATACTCCATGTTTCTGAAGTTCTGAGAAGAATATGAAAACACAACTATACAGAAGAGAATATGAAAAAAGAACTATCTGTGTACAAAATAGTAGTTAGATAAGCAGATTGGATGAAGATCCTTGACTCTAGTTCTTTTAAGTATACTTAGAAAAAACTCTAAAGAGTGTGAGATACGAGAGTGGGAAAGTGATTGAGGACATGGAAAAGGTTCAAAACCAGTTTTGAATCTGCTACTCCCTGTATGAACCTGACAACCATTTCCATATTTTTCCAATGAAATCCAAGTTCTGCTGCAATGGCTGAGATTAATACTGTAATGGACTTAATGTAGGTGAAGAAACTGCATCTAATACAGATAAGACAGAACTTGTTCCTAGCCAGATGAAAAGGAGTTCAGGAAACAATGATTTTATCTGTGCTAGACAAAGTAGTACGTCTCTTGCAACTTCTCCTTAATTATATGGAAGTCTTGAGTTTGGATGCTCAATTTTTGATGGTTATCAGAAGTTTCTTTGTTTCATTAAGACTAGCATGTCTTTTTCTTGGGCCTGTCAGATTCAATCATAATATACAAATCACACTTACATCTCATTTGTACCATTAGAATATACTGCATGAAAGACTGCTCTTGAAATCTGAAACTTCAGGTTATTCATATTGCAGGTCAAATTACTACTGTATTTTTGACTATAAGATGCACCTACATTTACAGAAGGAAAACAAGAAAAAATACTTTTGGAGGGCTCCACACAGCCCATTTTGGGGCTCCCAAGCCTTCTGCTCTTCACATTTTCACCCTATCCAGTCCCCAGAAGCACTCTGCAGGCCAAAAATACAGAGTATTGCAGAGTGCTTCTGGGGGCTGACATTTGACACGTGGAGACCTTGGGAGCCCAAAAATGCCTGTATTTGGTCTATAAGACACACCTAAATTTTCACCCATTTTTAAGGGAGGAAAGGTTTCTCTTATACTCTGAAAAATACGGTAATTGAAACCAATTATAAGCATATACTCTGTTGTCAAATAATTACTAGTTTGTTTCTGATCTGGCATGATTCAAGATGCTGTTTATGCTCTATATGAGGTGGAAATCAGATTATATATATATATATATATATATATA